ATATACATTAAGGAGTGGTCACACACCATTTTTGATTTTCACAGCATTTTAGATTTTCACCATTTTAGATTTTCTTTATCATAAAAAAATAGGACTAGCATTAATTAGGTTATTTATTCTAGGCATTTTAAGTTGTCCTGAGCTATACATAAAAGATATTTTGCTTAATCACTATCATCAAATGATCAAAATATTTTTCGGTAATTTCAAGTGCAACTCCATAATTAGCAGAGTATCAAGAACTTTTGTTTTGTCAGGAAGATTTAGGAAAGGGAAGTTTATACAAATTTTGTATTGAGAGTTTTGACTTTGTTGTATCGTAATAAAAGGAGAACAACTACCGTGATGAAGATTGGATTGTGGTCAAATTCTATATAAATACAGAAACTCTTATTGTAGGGGGGAAACTGAAAATAATTTTTTTTTTTTAAATGGATTCACTTGTTTCTAATCTGATATTTCCAAATTTTCCTACATTTGATCCTACACAAGACTTAAATGTACTCTATTCACAGTGGAATAAATACGTGAAACGTTTTCATATTCTATGTACGACAATTGGTGTGACAGACAATCGACAAAAGCTATCAATGCTGTAAACGTATATTGGTGATGAAACCTATGAAATTTACGAGAATCTATGTGACCAAACAACAACAAAAACACTTCAAGAAGTTATAGAATCTTTTGATAATCATTTTAAGCCGCAAATGAACATAAGTTATGAGACATTTATTTTCCGACAAATGAAACAATTACACAAGGAGTCAACTCACCATTTTTTTATACGACTCAAGGAACAAGCTAGGAAATGTAACTTTACCACACTGATTCGGCCATAAAACAACAAATAGAGCTATCAACAACCATAAAAAAACTTAGAAACTACTCTTTTCAAAACCCAAATAAAAGTCTAACTGAAATTTTAACCATGACAAAAAAGTTTAAAGCAACCAAAGTCCAGTTAGAGGTGGTACGACAACACCACAACAAAGAAGATGCCATTAACCATATACGCAACAGAAGGGAATCCAATAAAGGTAAACTTTTCTGTTCAAATTACGAGTTTAAAAAAAGTTTCCTAAGAAAAAAACTGTGGGGGAGAATACCCACACTCAGATGTATGTCCAGCAGCAGGAAAAACATGTTATAGTTGTAAAAAAAATGGCCATTTCTCAAGTTGCTGCATGAAAAAAAATAAATAAATAAAAATAAGTTGAGCGGAATTTCAAAAACTTTTGATTCTATGGGTAATCGCCCATTGAATAATATGGAAACATTAAAAAAAAACTTGTGATTTGTTTTAGTTTTCTGACAATAAAAAAGAAAATTCAAAAAAAAGTATTATTTAGAGTACAATATTGAAAATGTTTATTCTGTTAATAACTATTCTCGAAAACGAAACGTTTTACATGACAACAACACGAGAATATTGGGAACAAAAAAACAGAAGGTTAGTGAAAAAATGGTTAATTTTTCAATGACTGTATATATAAACCAATACCAGTTAAAAGCATTAGTAGATACTGGTGCATCTGTAAACGTCATTAATAAAAACACATTTTACCAACTGAAAATTACTTCAAAACCACAAATCCACAAAAACAAAAGTCTTATCATACAGTGCAAACCTAACCTCAAAGTAACAACCTCAAAGTAATTGGCGAGTTTTCAACATTAGTTGAAAATATCTATAAAATGTCAACTAAAATGACATCAACTAAAGTGACAGAAATGTCAACTAAAATGACAACTACGTTTTTATTATTAGAAAAAACCACAAAAATCTCCTATCAGGCAAAACTGCACTCGCATTAGGCATCATTAAGTTCCAAACAAACAACAAAAAAGACCACAAACAGCTTGTGCAATCACTATCCATAGTGACAGAAAAAAAAACATATCGCAAAAGTTAACAAAAATGATAAATAGTTTTAAAAACAGCTTATTTAGTGGGAAAATAGAAAAGTTAAAGAACCACATAGTCCATTTAAATATAGATAGTAATATTAAACTGTTTGTTCAAAAAGAACAACAAATTCTGTTCGCATTACAAGAATTAGTAGACAAAAAACTTTTAGAGTTAAAAGAGCAGGACTTGACAAACTTGAAGACGTGACAAACGTTCCTACACCATGGATAAACCCATTAGTCATAGTTCCAAAAGGAAATGATATTAGGATTTGCATAGATAAGTGATGTTTGTTTTTTAGTTGTTTTTTTTTATTATACTTCACTTCCTCAAGGCCGAGAAGGCCACTACAGATGAGGAGGCTACTTATTTTGTGGCTATAACCCTCTCTCAACTCTATAACTCCGAAACACGAACCTTGACGAACAAGGCCGCTGCGCAGAGAAACAAGTTGAGCGCGGTACTACCAGGGACGTGGTGGGGATCGAACTCGGAACCACTCGTTTATGAAGCGAGCGCTCTACCACTACACCACTACCGCATACCACTAACAAGGCTATTTCAAGGATGCGTTACCCCACCCCAATTATAGACCATATAATTAATCAAGTTATAGGTTCTACAGCCTTTAGTAAACTAGATTTAAATAGTGCTTTTTACCAACTCGAACTATCTCCTGAATCAAAATCTATAACCACATTCCAATCAAACACACGACTTAAAAGGTTTAAAATATTAATTTTTGAGGTAAACTCAGCTCAAGAAGAACTACAACATGCACTAAGACAAACACTTTCAGGTATAACAGGGTAATTAACATTGTAGACGATATTTTAGTCTATGGGAAAAATGAAAATGAACACGACATTACACTCTTAAAGGTGTTACAAAGATTAAGTGATACCTGGTTAACACTAAATTTAAGTAAATGTATATTTGGAAAATCTACATTATTATTTTACAGATACATTTTTTCTAAGGATGGTATAAAACCTAACTTACAAAAAGTAAGTGAAATAGAAAATACTCCTCCACCAAAAGATGGAGTCACTAAAAAAGTCACTAAAAAATTTTTTAGGGTTGATGAATTATTTTAAAAGGTTCATAAACGACTTTAGTACAATTACTCAACCACTTTGTGAATTACTAAAAAAGGACACAGTGTATGAATGGTCTGAAGAATGTCAAACCCCATTCAATACCCTAAAAAACTTCTTATCAACTGAGACATGTTTAACATTTTTTGACGAAAAAAAAGAAACTATTCTTTACACAGACTTGAGTCCTTTCAGAATATCTACTATATTACTGCAAAGGTCAAAGAAAGATGGTAAAGCAGGCTTGGTCGGGAAGCGGGAGCGATCGCCCTCGATTGCTGACCACGTAAATAATATTTAGTTGCGAAAAGCTGGCCAGAAATTTTTAGTCGTTTTGAGAACATTTTAAAAAGCAAAAAAAAAAAAGCGACTAAAATAAATTGGACGGATGAGAGACAATTACAAAAAAAAAAAGGTAGGCAAATAAAATATCTTTAAACGCGAAAAAACCTTAAGCTAAATAAATTACATTTAGAACAAATATTTTCTAAACATCGGTTTTTTATAATTTTTTTTATAAAATTAAGCGATGTTTTTTATATAAAGTAACAACTTACGATTGTTTAAAAGAGAAACAAATATTCTTTATTTAACTAAATTTGAAAGTTTTAGTTTTACTTAAGCTTAATTTATTTTATAAATAAAAAAGTTAATTTTTTTAATACCTATTTTATGTTTCGCGTAGTTTGAAAAGTTTAACATATTTGAAGCGATTCTTCTTAGTAAGATGAACAAATCTAAAAACAAATAAAAACAAATGAAATAATTAAATCATTTAATTATTATAGGAATTAAATTAACAAGATAGAAATCAACTAAAAAGGTAAAAAACACTTAATGACCAGGAAACGAAACTGCTTCACAGTATCGCTAATGATGTTTAGTAAGTGGGCTTTTTAATTTTAATTAGTATTTAAAGCAGAAAAAAGTATAACGAGTTTTAAGAATGGCAACTTAAGCGAAAATAATTAGAGTTAGTAAACCAATATCTAGAAACTTTTCTTTATATCTAAATACTTGCTATTATATATTTGTGTTCTGTCGTGACCTCAGGCGCGATGCTTGTTCATCCGCGAGTTACTTTGTATGCGTTGTTTGTGTTTAGTAACCAGAAACTTCTTATATGTTTGTTACATAATTAGTTTTATTAACTTTAACGATTATAACTTCATTAAAAACGCAATTATTTTTGTAAGTCTTTGTTTAAATCATAAAAATTGCTTTAAAAGATACATTACGATAAAAAACAAATACACAAAATTACATTTACATAAAGAATACAATCTCTTTTAAAATAAAAAATAAGAATATACTAATAAAATCTATGATTTATAATAAACTTTTAAAATTTTAACAATTTAATTAATATATATTTAAAACATTTATTTTTGTAAACAAATAATATATATTCTTAAAACAATTCTACAAATCTCAAAAGGTAACAAATCGTGAATAATACAATTTCTAAAACATTTTAACAGAATACTCTAGAACTTTATTTCGCTTAATCAGCGTATTTTTTGAACCAATAGTATTAGTTTATTTGTTAATTTGGCGGGTTTTTAGTGTTCGCAAATATTCTTTTTATTCTTTTGCACAAAGATGTTTTGAGAATATTCAAGTTTGTTATGTTTCCATGTATGTCCGTAAAACAAAAATTCTTTGTTTCGTACATAAACTTAAACATTCTCAAAACGACTAAAAAACCTGGCCAGTTTTACACAACTAAATATAATTTCCGTGGTCAGTATTCGAGAGCGATCGCTCCCGCTTCCCGACCAAGCCTGGTAAAGCTATAATAATTTCATATTCATCACGAGCTTTATCAAAAACAGAACAAAAATATCCACAACTAGAAAGAGAATGCCTCAGCATAGTGTACGGATGCAAACACAACTTACTTTACTTGATCGGATGTGAGTTTACAACATACAATGATCACAAACCAATAATAACATTATTGAACAACCCAAAATATGCAATTCTTTTAAGAATTGAGAGAATGACTCTCAGGTTACAAAGTTTTTTTTATTCACGTTAAAACATGTCAAAAGCGAGGAAAATATAAGAAATTATGCAAGCAGACATCCTTTTTATGACCACACAAGGTAGAAGAATATGTTAATTTCATAAGCGATTTTGCCAAACGGTACGTCATTAATATTGATATAATAAAAGCATACACACTTACTGACGAGACATTACAGCAACTTGCTACGTTGATGAGAGAACAAATGGCACTATTTAGACAAAAGTTTAAAGTATTTTTAACTCAGAGATGATATTACTTATTCGAATAAGTTTTGTAAATTTAAAAGCGAGTTAACTGTCACTACAGATAATAACCTAATATTGAAAAATAAAAGAATTGTCATACCTAAATTACTCCAAAAAGAAGTTATTGGTTTAGCACATGTAGGCCACATGGGAATAAAAAAACATCTGGGAAACAATTAACACTGACTATTTAGGTCCATTCCCAAATGCGAAATACATCCTAATAGATCAGACATTCAAATATCCATTTGTCGAAGTAGTAAACTCTACAAATGCAAAAACCTTCATTCAAACACTTGCCAATATTATAGCACTATTTGGAATACCTCGCACTATCATTATGGACAACAGCCCTCCTTTTCATTCATACTTAGTTCAGTCTTTTATGAACTCATATAAAATTCATCATACACATATTACTCTGTAATGGCCGCTAATAACGTTTCAACCAACCTCTAACCAAAATTATTTGAGCTGTTACTATAGAAAAAAATGACTTTACCCAAGAAATTCATAATTTTTTATTTTCATATAGAAATACTCCCTATTGCACAATAAATATAGCACCAGCAGACTTAATGTTTAATCGTAAAATAAACCATACAATACCTTCCATAGACAATAAATCAAACATCAGTCAAAAAGAAATAGCTTACAAAAACCAATTGAGATCGAAATCACACGCAAAACAACTTCATGACAAACGGTTTAAGTCGACTACCAATACAAATTTTCAAAATGGAACCAAAGTATTGGTTAAACAAGATAAAATCAACAAACTATCGCCATCTTTCAAAAATCATCCATTCAAGATTATGGAAATCAAAGGAACAATGATAACATTCAAATCTCATATAAATAACAAGACAATTACGAGAAATAGCTCACATTTTAAACCTATTTCAATACAGTTAAAACTACCAAATAACGAAGAAAACAATTAAAACAACCAAGTAACGAAGAAAATGCAGTTAAAACAACCAAGTAACAAAGAAAACAATTAAAACAACCAAATAACGAAGAAAACAATTAAAATAACCAAATAACGAAGAAAACAATTAAAACTACCAAATAACGAAGAAAACAAGGAGGAAGAGGAAGATTATATTTTTGATCCGAAAATTGTAGAAGAAGAACAAATACAACCTGAACAATTACAAGTAGAAACAGATTAATAGCAATTAAATGTGTTCCCCAGTAAAACATATCCATGAAAACATAGATTACCAATTGAATTTTGGCAAAAATAACAATATAATAACTAACTGAACCTAGCAGAATTTAAAAATATGATAATCAAAATCTTAAACATATCTTTGATTTTAGGTGAGAATGAGGAAGATGTTTTATCGCAATAAAGAAGGAGAACAACTACCGTGATAAAAATTGGATTGTGGTCAAATTCTATAAAAAAAACGGAAACTCTGATTGTAAGGGGGAGTTGGGGATAAATATAGTATAAGAATATAATCAAAGTTTCTTAAAGATAAAAGACTTTTTCAGAGTTTTTAATAGTTTTGACTTTTTCAGGAAAAGGTTTCCAGAATTGGTTTTAGAGGTTTCATGTTACAGCTGAACCTAACCCCAATATATATATATATATATATATATATATATATATATATATATATATATATATATATATATATATATATATTTATTTATTACTTATGTAAAAGCAACATTTTCAAAATAAAATAATTCTAAATTTAGTTTTAGGTTATCATAAGTTTCTTTTGTAAATCTATTTTGTTTTAGGTTATCATAAGTTTCTTTTGTAAATCTTTTTTGTTAATTTCAAAGGTAATATCTCAGTCAGTTTTTTTTTTTACTTGAGTTATAAAAGTCTTTTGAATACGAAGAATGTTTTGAATACGAAGAATGTTTTTGGTCTTTTTGGCTGTTCAATATGATAAACCTTAAGTAATCAACTGACTCTCTCAAAGCTTTAATCAAATGTTTATCTGGTCAAAAGCCATGTTGATCAGTGCAAAAGATGACTGAGCATTTAACTTTTATAATAGCACTACTAATAGCCAATATAATTGGTTTTTTAATAGTTGCCCACTATCTGGTTTTTAATCATTAATGCCATAATTGTGCCATTTAAACTTAAACTATTATCAAATTTTGTTTATTCCAACAGCAAAGATAAAAACCAGGCTGTGTAAAGTTTGATTTAACATTTTTTTGGTTTAACAACCTGCTATCTTAAAGTTCTTTAAGATTATTATAAGATTAGAGTTATAATATAAGTTTTACTATCTCTTGTGCAGTTAATAAAATATGGATAATTCAGGTTTGATATTTTTTTTTATTCTGATTCACTCCCAAATAGGATGCAAGTAACCACTTTTAAGTTGGAAGTTACCAGAAAAAAAGAATAGAGCTATAAGGCAAGGAAACGGTTGACAGAAGACTTAAAAAGTTGAAGGTTGTATAAGTCAAGAAAATATGAAGATGGGAAAGAGTTCCAAAGGGTTGAAGTGCAGGGAAAAAAGCTAGACGAATAAAAGTTTTGGAGCATGCAGGGACAGATACAGTAAAAGAATGAGACTGGAACTAGAGATGAAAGCTCCTTTGAGCAGCGGCCATATATATTGTTTTGATGATACTGTTTTATCTTTATACATTAGTTTGTGAAATTTATAAAAAAAAAAATAACAAAATTATATTGTTTTTTGACAAAATATTTCCTCAAATACTAAAATCTTTTCCTTGGTGAATATATCTAGATACTGGTATGTGGAGTAGTTTTTAAAATGTTAATGTATAATCACCATATAATCACCAGTATTGCCATATATACTGGTAAAATTAAGTAAAATTTAAAGATAATATTTGGGTATTAATAATATTTATATAAATATTTTTGCTCTAAATAGTGCTTGAATAAATGTATTTAACTAATTTTAGAATGGTGAAACAGCCCTTCATGCAGCTGCGTTGTTTGGTCAAATTAATGTTGTTAAAAAACTTGTAGAATCAGGTGCTGATCCACATGTTCAAAACAAAGTAATATTATTAGTAAAATTGTATTTATAAGTATATTTAATTTTTTAATAGCCATACTGCAATTAGTCATTTTCGTTTATTTTTAATTTTATAACTATTCTTCAGCTATGGTATAAAATTGTCAATGAACTTTTGCTAACACTTAAGCAAATGAAATTCAGTTAATGCAAAAAAATCGTTCTTTGTTTATTTTGTTGATATATTTTGTTTAAGTTTTTTTAATTTAATCTTTACATTAACAAAGTTCATATAAATAAATAATTGAAATCTTAATCAGTATTTTTAAGTAAATGGGATTAGATTTGATAAATTAAATTTCACTTTTTGATATGATAACAGTGAATTTTTATAAAAGTTACCAAGTTTTTATTTTTTACAAATTCTAGCTGAATTTACAAAAAATTAAAATAAATTAGTAATTAATTAAAGTTTTGGGAAAATTCTTTTTTTGGTTCTTAAGAAAATAAAGATTCATACTTAACGTAAAATAACAATATAAAAATATCAAGTTTGGTTTGTTTACAATTTCAAAAAAATACTTTTTGAAATAATTATTTTTTAGCAAATAGCAATTTTATTTTACAATTTCACACAAAGCTAGAACGAACAAAGATTGCAAAACAAATTGATTCTTGCATTAGATAATGACAGATTATTATAATAACTATTTCTTGCTGATATTTAAAAAAATAACAATTAAAATAGTTTATAACAAAAGTTTTAATGCATTTCATATTGAATTCTAAAACTTTTTAAAAGTAATTTGAATTTCAAGTATAAATGTGTTTTCAAAAACCTGTCATATCTTTCTGCAAAACAGATATAATTGTGATTTAAACAGTTCACTGTCACCTCTGTATAATTTTGAATCTATTATTCCTCTTGAATCAAAGCCTTGTGCAAGAACAACAAGTAGCAGGCCTTATGATGATGTGCAAGACCAACAAGTAACAGGCCTTGTTATGATGTGCAAGAACAACAAGTAGAAGGCCTTGTGATGATGTGCAAGAGCAACAAGTAGCAGGCCTTGTGATGATGTGCAAGAACAACAAGTAGCAGGCCTTGTGATGATGTGCAAGAACAACAAGTAGCAGGCCTTGTGATGATGTGCAAGAACAACAAGTAGCAGGCCTTGTGATAACGTGCAAGAGCAACAAGTAGCCTTGTGATAAATAAAAAATGTGCAGTGCATCAGCAAAATGTGATTTGTGAAATTAAATTATTTTTATTTTAGTCTTGTATTTATGGACAATTTTTTAACTACTGCAATTTTCTAAATTAATGCATAACTATTTTATTTGAGAATCAAAAAATATTATTGGGTAATCTAATTGTAAATTAATTTTTATTTCAAAAGTTGCTGCTAATACCTATTTGTCTACATGCTTTTTACTTCTTGTTATTTATTTATTTAAATTTAGTAACATTTGATTGAGTAGTTTTTAAAAATAAAAAGAACAAAAAAGTTTAATAAAAAGTATATTGCAAAAAAAAAAAAAAATTTTTCGAGTACTAACTTTATTAAGAAAACAATGTTTTTATGTACCTTTATCAAATTAAAAATTAAAATCTTTATTCAAACAATTTTTTATCAGAAACTATAAATGACCTGTACAGAAGTTTATGGGCACTTATTGGATATCACATAGTTTATTAACTACATAAACCAGGCTTAAAAAAAAAACTTTTTTACTCCTATAATTTTTGTAAATATAATCAGAACAACTAATAGTAATATTATCACTATTGGTTGTTATGTTCACTATTATCACTATTGGTTGTTTGTTGTTGAGTAATAAAAAAAATCATTTTCAAATAAAAAAATAGTATTATTATATTGGGCAATTTTATGCCATAAAAAGAAGCTTTAAATGACAATTAATATTTCACTTTTGTGATATACACCAATTTAAAAAATTTTATTATTTGATTTCAAAAATACAGAGTAATTATATTTTTGAATGTATCTGAAATAACAATTATGTAGTTCTCACTTTTTTTATAGTATGTACTTCCAAAATCTTTTTTTATAATGTTCTAAATTTTATTACAATAAAAATGCATTAAATAAGATTTTTCCTGTGAACTATATTTAAAATAAAAATAATAAATATATGCAGGCCTGTCCTATACTCACTATGTTAATAGTGTATCTCCTACAATAAAAATTTTTACTCAAAATTAAATTCCTAGTAAATGTGTTCTTAAGGGCTGTTTATATGAATCAGGCTGGCCCAGTTAACCAGACTGACTAAAAAAATAAAAGCATAAAAAATAAATTTTTACATTAGAATTTTTAAATTTGAATTATGCATTTTTATTTAATTGGTTGTTTTAAAAACAGTTGAACCAAGTTAAACAAAACCAACTACCTTCATGAGCAGAACTGGCTCATTTGTTTGTGTTTTTAGGGAAAAAATTGTCTCACCTGAGTAGGATCCCAAATTAGGCAAGATCTCAGTTACCTGGGCTAGCCCATTTGTCATGTAAACAAGTTTAATTTTTATAGGTAAATATCAAACATGCCAAGATCTGGTTATAGTTAGACAGCCCCAAGTAAACCAAGTAGCCCGCCTCAAAAGTTTATTTGAAAAAAAATCTGTTTATATGAGTTGGGCTATGGTTGAGCCAGCTTATTTCATATAAACTTACAAGTGTACATTAAACTATTTTTTATAAGGAAAGTGAAAATACAACAATATATTTTTTAATAAATGGTACTTGGAAACCTAAAATAGTTACTGATAAAGTAATTAAATCAGGGTTGGCATTAAAAAAACTTGCCGAATAAAACCCGCCTAAAAAAACCCAATAAAACTGGGCAATCTGGGTTTTATTGAGTGTTTTTTTTAAGATATTTTAACATTATAACTATTATATTAATAACTAAATTAATTATCAACTATTATTATTAACTAATTTATTATCACCAGCAATAACAGCCATCAGAACAGATTTACTATTATTTGAATCATTATTTAGAAATAGATTATCACAATTTTTATTCAAATATTTTTACAAATTGAAATTTTTTTTATCTTTTATGCTGAGAAGGCCACTACAGTCAAAGAGGCTACCTTATTGTAGTTGCAACACTCACTAAACTCTTTAATTCCAAAACACAAACCTTTTATGAACAAGGCTGCTGCATGGAGAAACAAGTTTGTTCTTTTGAATTTCAAGTTCAAAATTGAAATTCAATTGAAACTTCAGTTACTTCCTCCCATTCTTCAGCCTTCTTTTCCCCATTTCTCATTGACATTTTTAATTATAAAAAATACCACTTTTAAATCTAAAGTATGTCAATACATATAGGTTTAACATGCAATTTTTTTTTAATTTGAAATAATTATTTTAAATTATGTTTAAAAATCTTTTTCAAAATAGTTTGAAAAATTCTTTTTATAAATTATTAAACAACATTATATAAAATATATTTTAAATAAAGTTTAAGTAGAAAATTATACTTATTTTCAATATCATTAAACAAGAACAAAAAAAAAATTTAACAAATACCAAATAAAAATGAAACTCAAATTTACCCAAAAAACCCACTGGGCTGGGTTTTTTTTAAAAGGTTGGGTTTTTGCCAACTCTGAATTAAAAACAGTTTTTATTTTTCTTCTAAATTTCTCCTAAAAAACTATAAAAACAAGTGAGCTCATTAAAAAAATTATTTTAAATTCCCCTTTCAAAAAAAAAAAGTATTTTTTTTTAAAAAGCAGAAGTAAACAATTCTACAGAATTCTTATTACAGCATATTCCACAAATGTGTAAAAACTTACAGTACTTAAAACATTTATGACTTCCTGTATTTTAATTTTTGTTATAAGGTAAAGTTTTATTAATTTTATCATTCATTTCTAATAAGTCTTTATTGATGAAACGCAGTATTAATGAAAAAAGTTTGATAAGTGATTTTCTACTAATTTATAATTGCTCAGTTCTTTTAAGAACATTGAGCACTCTATTTTGTAGAATACATTTAAAATTATTTGCATATATACTAGGCTTCTTATTAACATTTTTAAGCACTCTTAATTGTATTTTGAAATTCTGTGTAAAATGGAAACTGATAATTTCACTTAATTTTCACTAAATTTGTTGAAAAATATTAGATAAAAAAAGTTATACTATTTCTTTGATTGAAAAGGTTGAGCATTTTGTCAAAAGAACTCCTTGGAAACCACATTTTTTTCTTAAAACCGAAAACAAACACAAATGATGTATTTAATAATAACCAAGATATTAATAATTATGGGTTTAAAACTAAAAATACTCCACCTTTTATACCTGATTTCGAAAATTTTAAAAATAATCTATTGCTCTTAATAAAAACAATAAGGTTTTATTTTCCTATAGATAACAAATTTCAAAAAAAAAATTAAAGTTAGATGTTAAAAAAATTAAATTAAACCCTAATTATTTGGTTTTCGCTGATAAAACAAATTAAATTTACCAACTCACAACAGAAAACTATGAAAACATTTTGTGTGACAATATTACTTATGTTGTTTAAATTTGAAATATTATTTAAAAACAATATTACTTATACTATTTAAATTTAAAAAATTTAAATAATTTAGAAGCAAAGTATCGCTAAAAAAATAAACCTTGAAAACGATATTGAATCAGTTGCCACAGCCCAAGCTTTTGTAACACTTAAATCGGACTTGATATCTAAATGCAGGCATGAAAATAAGTTTCTCCTAAAAAAACTATAAAAACAAGTGAGCTCAATAAAATAATGTTAAACCCCCCCCCCCCCCTCCTTTAAAGATATATTTAAAAAAAAGCAGGAGTAAACAATTCTCAAGAATTAATTTGATCATTCATTTCTGAAGAGTCTTTATTGATGAAACACAGTTTTGAATGAAAAAATTTTGATAAGTGATTTTCTACTAATATATATATATATATATATATATATATATATATATATATATATATATATATATATATATATATATATATATATATATATATATATATATATATACATATATATATATATATATATATATATATATATATATATATATATATATATATATATATATATATATATATATATATATATATATATATATATATATATATATATATATATATATATATATATATATGTCATTAATCAAATCACTAGGTCAGGTAATACATTCTCAATTATTCTGAAAAAACAAAAGGTCCTATAACTAAATTTTTACGATTTGTCACATACTAAAATTTACTCATGTCAGGTTCTTCATTTGTGAGACCATCGAATGCTCAAAATCTAGTAAAAATATTATAATATATTTAATAAAAGAAAAAAGAAAAATTATATATATATATATATATTTAAAAATATATTTAAAATATATATATATAAATATACATATAATATAATAACAATAAATATGTATATATTTAAATAAGCACTTTAAAAATTTTATATTATAAGTTTTACATTTAATTGTTTATTTACATTTAGTTTAGTAAATATATTTAAAATTATAAAATAATAATATAAGTAATTTATTAAGTTATTTTGTAAATGTAAAGTTAAAAACAGCTAATGTTATGTTTTTAGGATGGATTTATTCCTTTGGATCTCGCCAAAGACGCTAATTTCGACGAAATTGTTTCGTATCTTTCTACTGCAAGAAAATCATATTCTACTGCTGTTTAGCTAATACTTCATATTTATTTATTTTAACCCTGAATTTGTTTAAAAATTATCGTTTTATAAAAGATTTTATTTTAGAATTTGAGTCCAAACCTATGATCTATAATCGTTGAAAATGTTTCAACTGATCTGTGTGTTTGTTTTTCAAGGTCTTTTTATTCGTAACGGAGTACGTTTATAATCGCTAAGATTAAATTAGCAATATTTCTATAAAATTATGTATATTTTTTGAATTTTATTGTAAAGTTAAAATCTTCTTACTGACCAGAAGTATTTAAGTTTGGTTATTTGAGATTTTTAAAATGAAATTTTTTAAATTTGAAAACCGTTGCAATATTGTATAATGTTTTTATTTTTTTTAACAATTATTTTCTGTATATACTCCACATATATAAATGTATATACTCCACATATATAAAAGAATAGTATACAATGCATGTGAAAATTCAAATTAAAGAAACCATAAAATATTATTTGTTTATTTTCTGTTTCTTTAAGTTTTTAGAAAGATCAATTATTTTTAAATTTAAAAGGATTATTTTAGGCAGCGATCGTACCGCCTTATTTAGATTTTTACTAAGAAAAATTTAAGATATTTTATGAAATTAAAAGCAGTTTATATTACCGTTCTATATATTCTTTATCCTCTCTCTCTCTCTCTCTCTCTCTCTATATATATATATATATATATATATATATATATATATATATATATACAATTTATCTTTTATATCTTAAAAACTAAACAAGGCTTGAATGTTTTATTCTGTCTATGTTTTTTAATAATGCAGTAGTTTTATTTTCAGATATGGTACTAAATTTTAATCCAATTATTAAAGTGAATATAAACCAAGTAAAATTTTGGGGAAAAAAACTTTGAAAAAAAAATCAATTTTGAAAGTGAAAAGTATTGTGAAAGGTAAAGTAAGAGTTTTTAAAATTCTTTAAAATCTCCATTTGAAAAATTGTTTAAAAGTTATATAAAGTACTGAATACGGTATAGGCATGCCTTGCCTGAAAATTTTGCCGATTTTCCGTTGAAAAAGTGGCGTAGAGTGAGGCAAAAAGTTTAAATTCGTAAATATTTAAATGTTTAATAAACTTGAAACAAAAAATTTCTTTCAATCTACGATTAAATAATACGTTAAATAACTAAAATTCATTCTCTAAATCTCTACTGTGAGTCCACATTATTTGTACATTTGCTACACCTGCTTAAGCGTATAAGTAGGAAAGTTCATTTTTCAAACGTTTGCGCCTTTTATTGCTATAGTCTCTTTTGCAACGACAAAAACTAATTTCCCAACCATACTCCACACACTATGGTAGATACTGTACTGGCATGTTAGAACGTTTAAACACTAAACATAAAGGGACTAAGGAATATGTACTATAAAGAACAATCATTGTTGTTGGAAGTCGTGCATTACTTTAATTTAGAGAAAATAAACCAACAAATTTGTAAAAAAGAGTTAACATATTTTGTCTGTTTACTATCAACAAAACGTTTGATGTTGCTTATTGTAAATAGATTAGGTTAAGCCGCTGATATACTAAGATTTGTTATTGCAGCTAGAGTTCTATCGGCAGCCTTGATAAATTCTTTCCAACATGATTTTATAGTGGTTATAAAAAAGTGACTAGTTTGATTTCAGCATTTTTTTTTTATTTGAGATACCACGTTCCTTATCCTCTCTACCAGTTCGGAAAAGCGTCACTTGTGGCAGAACTTGATAAAAGTGAGTCAGTAATAGAAAAACGTCAGTACCTTGTGAATGCGTAAAATATTTTCTGAATGAGTTTTATTTTTCAACGTTTATGGCAGGTAGAATTAACAGTGTCATCTTCATTGCGATCACGATTCATTATTTTTGACAGATTTTCTTATGTTGTGTTTGAATATGTTACAATAAACCAAGCTGCACTATCTTTATAATTTTTGTATATTCAGCAAAATATGGTAAGAGCGTGCTCGGTTTAAATGTGCACCAATAACTGCTTTAGTTAATTATAAATTATAGCTTTACCAATTGACTTTTACTTAATTTTGTAGTCATTCAGTCATTTAAGTCTAGAACAAGAAAAAAAAAAAGCACAAAGGTGTTTTTTTTTCTTGTTCTAGACTTTAATGACTGTTCAATGTATCTATCAAAAACCAATCTCATCTGATTGCAGTTTTTTGAACTATCTTCTTTTAAGTTTAAATGGGCTAAATTAATGATTTTTGCATCTGTAATAACCCGTAAATATTATCAGATTCTTGAATATTCTCTTGGATTGATGTCAAGTTGACAAATTTATGCGCTGTTAACTAACACTTTAGGATGCACCTAATATTATTTGAAACAGCGTCATCAGAATTTGGGATACTGTTCTTTCTAAGAAAGTATTCTTGTTCAATTAACAACTTAAAATTTTTTTTTTAAATCTCTGTAAACTCAATTTTTTTAAATTTACCGCGTTTACATTGGCAAGCTATATAAAGCTTTTTGTTGAGACTTTGAACAAAGTATTTTCACTAACCTTTTGACATTTGGCTCCTTTTTGACACTTTTAAATCATCTATGCCTTCTAAGAATTTAAGATTGCTAGCAATAAACTTGTGTTGTTTAAGTGAACGTTGCAAACTTATACGATAGCTAAACTTTTTGTAATATTTTTAGTTATAAACACTTTTTTTAGTCCTCGAGTGGTGTTTTTGTTATCCTTTGGTAACAATCAATAGCTTCTGGGTCAAGAAGGAGTTTTTTTTGCCTTAAACACTGCTGTTTCACTCAATATAAAAATGAGCTTGACGAGTTTATAAAAAAAAATCTCCGCATAAAAAATATTAAAATTCACTAACTTTAAAATAAGAGTATTTTTTTTTCTATATACGCTTTTATCTTCAAATAAAAAAAATATATAAATAATCTCTCTCCTTGTTAAATAAATAATTAGATAAAATGGAATAAAAGCAAATATTGGTAAAATATTTTTAATGATTTGTGATCACTTTTCTTTTTTGCAATACTTACGAAAAACCTGTTTTGGAAAAGCTAAATATGCTTTCAAAATTGTCATGTTTTGCAAATTTCTCTAGTTTTTAAAGCGATGACATAAAATATAAAACGTTAAAACATTTTCTCTAATATTATTTTGCGATTTTGATGTTTAACCTTTAATAATCTCTGTTTCATATCACATAGATATTATTATTATTTATTTCAGTGATCAAATATAAATACAATAATCCATTTATAATTTGATGAAGAGGTGCTACACCAGGCCCCTCTATGCTGACGAACATTGAGATACAGACGCTACAGACAAAGCAGCAGTTGTATCTATAAAGTTACTTTCTTATGTTGATTTTGAAAGCGATGAAGGATTGAGCGTTTACTGCTTCTTGCGAAAACGCATTCCATAGGGCGACAATTCTATTTGAAAAAAGTTATATCGTTCCTCACAGTTTTTTTCCATCTGACATTCTAGTTTATGGTTATGGCCTCTTAAAATATACTTATCTTTACTTTTTGAAAATTTTTGCGGGACGACAAAACTGACAAGCTTGAGTTTACGAGTGATTTTGAATTGCTCGATAAGATCTGCTCTTTTGCGGCGTTCTTCAAGAGTTGTTAAACCGAGCCGTTGGAGTCGATCTTCACAGGACAGGTGTTTAATAGTCGATATTGTTTTTGTTGCTCGTTGTTGGATTTGCTCGAGAATGGCAATGTCTGATTTTAAATGCGGTGACCAGGCTTGTACAGCAAACTCAAAATGGGGGCGAATGTGAGTTAGATACAGAGTGGGCCATAAATAAAAACTGAGACTGCGAAATGTTTTTTTGAGTCGCCCTAGCATTCTATTTGCTACTGATGCGACTGACTCTATTTGCGGTCTGACTTTAAGATCATCCGAGACCATCACACCAAGGTCTCTTTTGACTGCGGTTTTTTCGAGAGGACGACGGGTGCCGTCTACGTTAGACATTGAGTATTTGTACGTCGACTTGTTACATCCGCGCCCAACATGCATTACTTTGCATTTCTCAACGTTGAATTGCAAGAGCCAAATGTGTGACCATTCCACTGCTCTGTCAACGTCATCTTGGAGAATTATGCTGTCCGACTCCTTTTTAATTATCTCTATTATTTTGCTGTCGTTTGTCGGCAAACAGTTTCATATGATGAGTAATTCTATCCAGCAAGTCGTTTACAAAGATTACAAATAGCAATCTGCCCAAGACCGTGTCTTGAGGCACTCCACTAGTGACTGCTTTCCATTCAGAAGTAATGCTGTTTATAACCACTCGTTGACATCGATTGTTTAGTCAAGCTGCAATCCAATCAACGAGAGCGCCTTGAATACCGTACGCTCTCAGCTTATAAAGGAGGCGTTTATGTGGTACTTTGTCAAACGCCTTTGCAAAGTCTGTGTAATTGACGTCTACTGCGTGTCTGCAGTGAGTTGCTTCCGTCATGATGTCCCGAGTTTCTAAAAGGTTTAATACGCATCCCTTACGATGAACAAAGCCATGCTGGTTTGGAGAAATTAGACCATTAGCAACGCAGTGTTCCATTATTTTTTTTATGTGTTATATTATTTTTTGTAAAATTCTTTTTTTAATTTTGCAAGGTATGAAAGTGAGCAAGACTGGCCGGCAGTTGGATGCTTTTAGCCTACTCCCCTTCTTGAAAATAGGTGTTAAATTCAATTTTTTTCACAGGTCAGGAACTACATCAGTTGCAAACGAGCATTAATAGATAAGCGAAAGAGGCTTGGCAAAGGTAGCTGAACATTTATTGAGGACCCGTGGATGTAAGCCATCGTAGCCGGTTGATTTTCTTTCATCAAGGCTGTTTAAGCATTTTTGTACTATGTTGATAGAGAAAATTGCTTGATCGATGATACAAACTGCTTCTGTACGACTTTCAAAGCCTGGCATTGAACCTTCGGGCTCTAAAACAAAGACTCATTGAAAATAGTTATTTAACAATGCGCATATATCACCGGTATAGGTTGTGGTGTTGCGATTGACTGTTTCAAGCGATGTAATGTTGTTACTGACGCTCTGCTTGCTTCTTATATATGCATGTAAGCGTTTAGGGTTGCTTTCGGAATCTCTGACGAGTAACTCTACCTACTGCTGCCAACTTTTTTGCAGGCAGTGCGATGCGATATTTTGAGAAATTTATGCGTATCTCGACCTGCATTAATGTATTTGGCCCAAGAGGTGCGTTTAGCTTTGACCACCTCAATAAGTTCTGGTGTTACCCATTGCTCCTGTACCTGTAAAGGGAGATGTAGTTGACGGAATGTGTAGGTTAGTGGCTTCATTGTAC